GTGTGTGTGTGTGTGTGTGTGTGTGTGTGTGTGTGTGTGTATGTGTTGGGGGTGGAGTTGAGGGCATCTGGCACCATTGCTCTTCTGTTTAACAATCCATTGGAGGTTTCATATGTGTTAAACCATTTCTCCAACCTCCAACTTTGGTTCTCTGAATAAATAATCACAGAGCCTTTCATCTCCTTTTCTTGGTCTTATTTTTCAAACCTGTGTATGTGTAAGTGTATCCCTGGCAAGGCAGGGAGGGAAACCAGGACCACTGCAGAAGTGCAGGTGCCAGCTGAATGAGGGTGCATTGCTCCCCTGAACCTCCCCTTTTGGGATTAGAGGATAATATGGGCAATGGTGAAAATGGCTCAAGGAATCTTGGTAGAGTAAGAGGCAGGCATGATAGTGTTGCAGGGGCCTTTGTGACCCTTTGGTCTGCATTTCTTGTTGTAGAGCTTTCATTGCTTTCATCTCCTGCAGGTTTCCCCCCTGTGGCTTCCAAGCAGATACTAAGCCCCCTTCTCCAGCCAGCACTTCTCAGCCTGCCCTATTAGGGCTGCAGCTTTTCTCAGGGGTGGGGGGGAAGAGGGCTGGACTGTACCTGTTGTGGTACCTCTCCTCTCTGGACAAATATAAAATATTCACAGGACAGGCCTAGTGAATTTTGAAAGAGTATTATGTTGGGTAGAGTTGTGGGGTACAGGTGTGAGAAGTAAAGCTGGGCCACAGTGCATCTTGGTCTTGCAGTGGTGGACTGGGCTCAACGAGCCAGGGATCCAGGCCTCCCAGAGAAGCTTAAGACCACTAAAATCACATGCCCCCATCAAGCCTCCTGACTCAGCAGGTGCTATAAACGTGGGCACAGGACTACCCTTCCCCCAGCTTCTCACTAAACCTGGGGCAAGTGGACCCCTGGCCCAATCTCCCGTTTCTAGATGGGGAAACTGAGAACCCAGAACAAAGAAGATATTTGCCCAATTTACACAGAAGCACAAAGCTACTGTCCCCTAATTCAAGGCTTCTTCCTCAAAGCGCACTGATCCTGGTCCCC